ACCTTCTACGCCTCCTTCTTGTTCTAATTCATCTAATGCACGTTTAAATGCAAGAATAACATGTGTTGGTGCTAGATAAAAATATATTAATGAAAAAAAAAAAAATTTTTTTTTTAATGCATATTTTTACATACGTGTAAAACGAAATTGTTTACTCTGCTCCATGTAAGTATATTGATCATATAAGTCAAGTGCTAAACTACGTGCTTGACCTGAATAAAAATTATTTCATAGTACATTAAATAAATAAAACGAATGTACTATATTAACCTTGACAGGTAAGTAAATGTTTTCGTTTGCAAATTACAAAAGCAAAACCAGGTATACCTTCGATACATTTATTAGCTGAACTAATTATATAAGTAATATGACCATTACGAAGACTAACAGGAATTGCACCAAAACCACTCATTGAATCAACAATATATACTGTTGAACCTAAAGAAATCATTCAAATATAATATACAAAATTTGATAAACAAAAAAAAACACAAAATACCTTTTGTTGTACCATGATCATATACTAATTGTCCAATATCTTCAATTGGATTTAAAATTCCTGAACTTGTTTCACAATGAATTATAGCAACATGTGTATATGTATTAGATTTTAATTTATTAGCGACTAGATCAATTTGAACACGTTCAGTTTCATGAAATGAAATAATATCATAAGGAATATTTAATACTCGACACATTTTTATCATTCGTTGACCATATGCACCATTTTCAATGATTAAAACCTTGACGAAAAAAAAAAAAAAAAAAAACAAGATTATCGAAATCTTCAAATGAAATACATATCTAGAAAAAATGATAACCTACTTTAGCACCTTGTTGTGATACAGACGTTGAAAATGTTGCTTCAACTGCATATGTACCACTTCCTTGAAGAAGTACAGCTGTATATTCATCAGGTGAAGCATCTTTAAAAAAAAAGCGAAGAAGATATTTTTATTTTCTTGATAAACTCAAATCAACCTGCTAATTCAATTAATTTTTCACGAATATATGCAATTATATTCAAAAAAATAGTATCACGTGAACCTAGATCATGAAGCATAGCTTGTTTAACTGTTAAACTGGTCGTTAAAGGACCAGGTGTAAATAATTTTGAATCATTCTCTATATAGAAAAACAAAATTAAAGATCTTTTATGTGTTTTAGTTCAAATAAAAAAAAAATACCTTTGATATCCATGTTCATTAATTTAATGTGAATAAAAAACAATTATATGTTTATCTATTTGTTTGGTAACTGAGGTGATTCGTCTAGCCAATAGAATGTTGGATATACAAATCCAATAAACAACAACAATAGGTTATTTTTTTTATTTGTTTAAGATGTCTAATACAATGATTGATTTAAATGAAAATCAATCATTATTTTTACCATATTATAAAAATCTTTTACCAAAATCAATTAATAATGAAATAAATATATCAAAAAAAAATTCAAAACGTTGTACATCATCATCATATCGACATCGTCTTGAACGTATTAAAACTAATTGTCAATTAATACGACAACGTCGTCGTCAATATTTATTTCCTATTTTACCAATTGAACTTCGTCCAAGTTTATTTCAACAACGTTATTATCAAACGGGTTCATTAGAATTATTAAATGTTAATAATAATCATTGGCAATCAACAAATTTTTTACGTTTATCTGATGAATATTTATATAAATGTAAATATGCTATATATTCATCAACAAATAGATATTTTAAACAAAATGAATTTTATCGATTTTTAAGAGATATTTTTTCTTATTCATTTTCTACAAAAGAACATCATAATGATTTAAATGTATGTCAATTATGTAATTATAAATTTAGTACAAATGAAATGTTTGATTTACATTTAAATCGTCGAAGTGTATCAATACAATATCGATGTTTAACATGTCAATCATGGATTAAAACAATGAATCCATGTCAAGCATATTATCATTTATTATTACATAATAATATTGCAAAAGAAAAACGTATAGGACAATTAAATATTAATTATGATTGTGAGAGTTGTTCAGTAAGTTATTCGTACATTGATTTCGAACTCATGAATTTTACCTTCTAAAGAAATGAATAGGGATGTTTCGAAGTTGTCAAGATTGACGAAGGAGTATCAATAACTCGGGAGTTGTATTCGAGATGACTCACGGTCACAGTCGTGAACGCAATTGGAACTTGGTCCCAAATTCGAACTCGGTTGAGTCCGAGTCTGAAATTTTTCTGTTAACTCAGTCGACATTGTAAAAACGGCATAAATTTCAATGTCCACACATGTAACAACCTGAAGGCTCGATGAATCTCATGGAGTAGTAAAAAGAGTTGTAGTTCATCCCAGTCATAACAGTGAAATTCGAAATATTTTTTGAATATCATCGTTGAGTACGAGATTTTCAACTGCAATTAACATTTCTGGTGAGACACGTTTTATTAGAGAAGACTACTTATGATGACAAAACTGTGATATTGATAAATAAATTTTTGTAGTCTGGTAATAATGCTCAAGTATATTTTTATCAAGTTTGTGTTATTGGCGCTGAATAGAATATAAAGGAAACCGATTTCAATATAAGAGTTATACACTTATGAGGAAATTTCTTTGAGTGAATCTTATTCGATTAGATAAAGTCTCTTGAGACTAGACGATACATTTATGCGTGTTAATTCTTCTCAAGTTATGAGTAATTTCGTGAGTTTTTAGATCATCTTCCACATCAACTTTTGAGCTAATAATTTGCACAAAAAAAAAACAAATTTTCAATGAGACTAGTTCATCATGAACGTATTACATTTTGTTATATGAAAAAGCAAAGTTTGTTCTAATATTTATTATATCTTAGCACAGAAGATAGCATCGAACACTATCAAAATGACCTAATCTCATAGAGAATTCTATTTCTTTAAAGTTGGAATTTGAAAGTTGATTTTGAATATGATCTGAGGAACAGCATGGCGTTTTATTAAAAAGCTCATTAAAATATTCATAACTCAAGAAGAAAGATTCATAAGCATGAATTCTTTTAGAATTAATCTAGTGTTAATAAGATCATTCTAATGAGAAAAGACTCATGTCAAATAGAATTTATCATTTGTCTAGTGAACTTTAGACACAATATGAGAACTTTTTAATCAAATGACAACCATTGCAAGACAAGCTAATGATATGACCATCCGTTGTTATCAATCTTTCGTAGAATCATAAAAAAAAACGATATTTTCCAAGTAACACAAGTTTTACTTCAAAAAATCGAAATTAAAATGACATTTCTATGTTGTACATCTGTTCGAACTATCGACGGATATACAAAAAGGTTTTCTTGTCACTACTAGCGAATACCGCCAACACACACTCATGTAACTCGAACTAAACAAAAGCTGTCGGCAGACTGTTTCGATAAACTATTGCAGAGTGTTTTCTACACAAATACGAATTATTTAATAGAAAGAATTCAAATCGATAGAGAAGAAGACAATTTCAAAATATATCCTATTCATAAAAATTGTTGCGGCATCATCTATAATACAAGTTTATCCCATAACTGAGAACGATTTAAACTTTGAGACAAGTACAGTCGGTTAAAACGCATCAACATAATCAGAGTACATAAAAAAAAAACGGCTTCATTCTGTCAGTTTTAATAGACTTCAAAAATATTCACCCGATTTGACACAATATGTCATATTGCAAGACTTTCAAAAAAAAAAATACCGACGGTAGTTTCTCGGCATTCATCACATAGGTAAACAACAGTTGGCTATTCTCTCTGATCGACAATCTACTGACGGTAAACTGTCAGTTCTTATGAGTATCATGGTATATTCATGGTAATGCGATACAACTAGCGTATATAATATCGAACGATCAACTGTCAGTGTTTGTCAGATTCTGAGTGACACGATTTTCTCTTTATCTGAAGTTTATTAATTCGCAGTTATTTTATTTATTGAGTGCTGCATCAAATTATTTTTTTTCTATTTTTTAGACTAATATTGATGATATTTTTGCAAATTATTCGAATTGTTGTTCTACTGATTGATATTTTTATTGAAACAACGAATATAATCTCTTTTTAAAATAATTTATAATCTTGTGAAAAATTTGTAATGGTGCTTTTGTTTTTTGATAATAAGATGACTTTCGAACTGATTATAACAGTGAATTTGTTACATAATAAAATATTTCGTATATTTACAATTAATTTAATCGTTTTTTTTTTTTTTTTTTTATAAAGAACATTGTTAACAAGCTACGGATGTGAGATGTTTAAATTTATTCAAATTTTTTTTTCGTTTTTGTTTTTTTGATAATCAACTTCTAGACGATGTTCAATTTCTTTAGCCTTTAAAAAAGCTGATTTCATGGATTGACGATGTTGTTCAAGAATAAAATTTCTAATACGATTTTGTTCACATAAATCACATAAATAAATAAATTGTTTATTATTTGTTAATGTATACCACCAATTTTCAGTTGAATCTATTTGACAATTTGAACATATATTTGGTATTTTTTCATGATATTCTATTGAATTATTATGAATTAAATAATTCATAACACAATCAAGACCTTGTTTTTCAATAAAATCTATATCACGTGAATTTGGTATAAAATTATTAAATGAATTTAAAACATGATATGATGGTGATAATGTTAATAATTTACTTTTGAGTTTTTGTCGTAATTCAATACGTTTTTCCCTTAATTCATCATCATCAATCATTATTTTAAGTATTATATTGACAAGGTTTTTTTTTTAATTTTTTGTCAATAAGGTAGCCGAAGAACTAAACACTGACATAAATGGCGCCAAAAAAATTTTCATCATGAGAATAAAATAGAAAATGTTTATGAATATTTTGTGGAATCAAATCAAAAACAAGAAATTCATGTGGAGATTCCTGCTGTGTATTGAATGATTATTATGGTTACAATAAAATAGACAAGAAAACAAAAAATATTTTCTTTTTTTTTTTCATTTTAAAATTGATGGCAGTCGCACGACCAAAAGCCGTAATGAAATATGAAATAATATAAAAATATGATTAATCTTATTCTAGTTTAGGATGCTAATGGTGAATTTCTTCAACAACGATATACTGAATTAAGTGATGTTATTTGTGCAAGAAATAAAATTGAAGATCGTCTTCTTAATGTTCGATTAAAATTTTATGAACGTGAAAAAAAAGTACGTTTAAATATCATACGTAGAGAACAACGTCAATTAGAACGTGTACGTACATCATTATATAAAGAAACTAGTAGAGTTCAAGTTGAACAACAAACTATTATATTACCATCATGGATGCTTTGTAGACCAAAATTAGAAAATCAAATATTTCGATTAACAGCACCAGAAATGATTGTTAATGATTGGAAATGGAATTCTACTGCAATTCAATCAGATATAGTTCCACCGAATACAGCTGATAATAGTCGCTCCAATACAACTCGATAAAAAATGATATATTCAGTGGAATGTTGATGATAGAATCTCTTTCTTAAAACATATACTATAAACTAATAATAAAAAATATTTGTTGAATTATTAAAAATACACAAAACAATTTGCATAATTTATTGAGTGATTTATTTAAAAAATAAATAAAGTCTTCGTTTTTTTTTTCTCCATTGTCTTTGTTTTAATTCTTTTCAGTTAAAGTTACGGCTAAGCGTTCTAAATAATTTAATTTTGTTTCAAATTGATTTGTTATTTGTTCAACTTTTGCAATTCGTGAACTTAAACTTAATTGATGTTTTTCTTCATCGGAAAGATATGATGCTAATTTTTTTGTACCTAATGCTAGATCTAAACGACGTTGAATATCATTTAACATCATTGATAAACGATTGGTCACTTGAGTATTTTCATTAACAACATCTTTTAAATTAATTGGATTTTTTGCTTGTTGAAATTTTTTACATGAAGATGAATATTTAAGTATACGAATTATTTTTATTGCTGTTATATAACGTTTTGGTAAATCTCCAATATTGGTTATTGATTTCCTTCGAACTCTATTTGATTTTGGTACTGTCGTTTTATTTGTTTGATTAAATGGAAATGATTTCATTTCACATGCATTACTAGATGCAGATCTAATGAGTGTTGGTGTTGAACTTAGATCTTGAGTTAATTGTGGTAAAGGTGTATGAACACGTCGCTGCATCAATGTATAAATTTTCCATGTTGCTACAAAACGATCACCTTGATAAACACATCGAAGTCGCCACCAATTACGAATAACACTAGCAGCTGCAGGTATAAGACGATTAAATGCTTCGTCACGTTTTTGTTCTTGTACTTTTATAGCAAGACCCTTGAAATATATGAGCAAAATCGTTTGTTAGCGACGTAACTTTGCAAAATTGAAAGGCATATAGCTCTGGACAATCAGCTTATCTAGAGCTGATTTTTTATATCCTATGCGTATGCTAAGTTGTTCTAGACACCTTGAAAGAAACAACCGTAGGGATTCTTGTTCGTCAGAGTTATGATTAAAAAACTAGCGTTAGCGACGTGACTCAAAAAAGGACATCAACTTCCACTACAAGCATTTCAGTTTGAAAAATCTGCGAATCGAAACAGTATTTTCGAAAACTAAATAGTAAATGTTGCAGGCGACTCTTGAAGCTACAAAAATATCTACTCAATGTTTTTCCTGAATATGTTTAGATTTTTAACTAAATTGAGTTTATTTGGCGTTAGTGACGTGACGAATTCGTTAGCGACGTGACACAGTACGACTGCGCAACAAAGAAGGTGCTCTTGTAGTTGATTGAAAAGTTTGAAATCGACTTCAAAAGTTACAAATTATTATTCACAGTCCACAGATGATGATAAGACAAAAAATTTCCTTTTTGCACTGTTTAGGGTCTCTAGAAAACCGGTTTTTCGAAAGACATTTTTTGGAGTCCAATCTTGCTGAAAATTTTACCATAGATGCAGCTTATGTCCTAGAGCCTATTCTGACGTTTTCAGATTTTTTTCTCATCTGGTTCATGATATATTCACTAATTACTTTTTAATTAATTAATCAATTAATTAATTAATTCTAACTAATCACCATGTGAAAGACCAAGCATTTTCACATGAGTCTACGCTAAAAGAATTTATCCAAAAAATTCACTCTTAGAAGAATTAAACTCAAATGAAACGTGTAAATGTCCCGTTTTGCCTGATTTAGCCGATATATACATATTAAAAAACATGATAGAATGAAGAAAAAAACAATGAATCAATTACACTTCCGATAATGCCAACTGGTAAGCACCAAAATGCAACACCAAGATAACAAATTGTAGTTGTTACAATTTTACCAATAAAGGTTTTAGGAGAAATATCACCAAAACCAATGGTTGTCATCTAAATTGCATATTAACAAACAAAAATAAAAAAAAAAAAAAGAAACAGTGATAAATATTTTCATTATGAAAAATATTACTGTGATAATTGAAAACCATATTGAATCAGCCATGGATTTAAATGACCCTGTATTTAAATTTGGATCTATTGGTGTTTCAGCAATAAAAACAAGATAAGCACCTGTTATAAGAAACATAAAACCAATAACTATTGTAACTGTAAGTTCTTGATGATGCTTTATAATAATTCCTTTTAAAATTCTCCATGATGTTAATTGTCGATCAACACGTAAAAATCGAATCATTTGTAATAATGGTAAAAATCTTAATATTATTTCTGGAAATTCTCCAGTTGTTATACCTGCTGCTATAGATAATGCAAAACCAAGAAGTGTTAATATATCAAGTACAATTACAGATCGAGTTATAAACATTAAACGACCAACCCATGTTCGATATTTTGCAAGACAACCAGCTGACCATATACGTAATAAAAATTCATAAGTAAAAAATATACATAAACCTAATTCACCATAATATAATGGTTTATTTAATCTTAATCGCCATGCACCAATAGTTGATATTGAACCAAATACCAATGAAATTAATGTTAAAGAAAAAACAAATAGATGATAAATAAGTGTACGTCTACCTTGTTGTCTTTCAAGAACATGATATACATCAGCTTTATGAATATAGAGTGCTGAATAATATCGTGATAATAGATGACGATCATCTTCATCGTTTGAATATAATGTTGCTGAATAAACTGAAACGGCTGATGGACGAGTAGCAGCTGAAAATATAGTTTTACGTCGAATACTCATATCTTGATCTATGATTGTCGTTTTTTTTTTGTATTGGCATAGAATGATTGATCTTCATATTTCTTTGACCTTTATCTGAGACTAAATCAAAATCATATACGCGTTTTTTTCTTCGTGAAGCGAAAAAAAAGGGGGAACAAACAAACCCATGCTTTCTCTCGAAGAATATATACATTATAGAGTTTTATTTCATCGTTTTTTGTTCTTTTGTATACAACACGCAATTCGAGACTCTTTTTTTTCTATTTTTTCCAAATTTATCGACTCAACGTGATTTTTATGCTTAGTAATTAGGAAATGACATTCATAAAGAAAAAAAAAACAATTGAAAGTAATAAAGACCATAGATTATTTCATTATAAAAAAAAAACCAAAATATTGACAAAATGAATCTGGAAGACACAACATAAGCTATCTTAATAAATCATGTAGCATTTTTTCTATTTAAAATTAGATTTCGAAAAAAAAACAAAGTTTTCTCGTAAAAATTCAATAATAAATTCATATTGTGTTGCAGTAGATGTAACTCAATAATCAAGAAAAATCTTGAATTTCATCGACTATTCTCCCTCATGATATAATCTATTACAAAGAAAAACTGAATAAATCATATTTATTCGTCAATGAGTGACATCTGTTTACAAGTGATTGTTACATAAACATTCTAGAGAATGTTGTGAGGTAACTGATCATCGTGTTTAACTTATTATGGTTGAAATAAAATCGAAAAAAGGAAAAAAAAACGAATACCTTTAAATGCTTAGATTAATAATTTTATTATCTATTTAGAAATAAAATAAAATAAAAAAATAACGAATACATTGGAAAAATGTCGGATGGTAAGTTAATTTTTTTCATTTTTCGATTCTATGCATAGAAATAATTATCATATGAATATTAGGAGTGGATACACATATATTACGTTACTATGAAATTCAAAAACGTCTTGGAAAAGGAGCATATGGTATCGTATGGAAAGCAACTGATAAACGAACTAAAGATATAGTTGCATTAAAAAAAATTTTTGATGCATTTCGTAATCAAACTGATGCACAAGTATGAAAGACGAAAAAAATAAACAATAAATAATGATTTCTTATTTTCTTATATAGAGAACATATCGTGAGATAGTTTTTTTGCGTGAATTTGGTGAACATCCAAATGTAATTCGTTTACAAAATGTTTTAAGAGCTGATAATGATCGTGATATTTATCTTGTTTTTGAATTTATGGGTAAAAGAAAAAAATAAAAAACAAAAAATAATAATGTTCGATTTATCTTGTTTTGAAAATAATTTTCAGAGGCTGATCTTCATAATGTTATACGTAAAGGAAATATTCTTAAAGATACACATAAACGTTATGTTATGTATCAATTATTAAAAGCAATGAAATATCTTCATTCGGCAAATGTTATTCATCGTGATATGAAAGTAAAAGAATTGTTTTTCAAAAAAAAAAAAAGAAATATTTTAAGATTTTATTTTTTAAATTTTATTTTAGCCATCAAATGTTTTAATTAATCAACAATGTCGTGTTAAAATATGTGATTTTGGTCTTGCTAGATCATTAAATCATGTTTATGAAGATCCACAACATCCAGCTTTGACAGAATATGTTGGTATGTTAAAATTTAACTGACAAGACAATGTTTTCAACTGATCGATTATTTTTGTTGTTAATGAAAACTAATAGATTTTAGATTATCAAACACGTTACTTTCGAATAGGATCATTAAAAAGAAACTCAGCCTTATGACTTCATATACTGGATGAATTAAAATGGTTGTACATTCTAAAAGAAACAACGATTTTTTTAATAGAAAAACAGTTACTGTTTCATAAACAATTCGATAAGTTCTATAATTGTGATAGTGAAAAATGAATTTTTGGTGAAAACTTTGTTAGTCTAGCAAACCAGTTTTCTAGAAAATCAACATATGAAGACGTCAGTAAATTTTTCATGATCATATTCCGAAGTAGCATGATTGATAATCTATAATTCACTAGCTTCCATCACAAAACCGATTGATCAGTTGATAAAGTTCCTTCGTACAATTATGATATATATTTATTTTATAGCAACAAGATGGTATCGTGCACCGGAAATTTTACTTGCTTCATCCAAGTAAATTTTTGTTTAAACAATATTTTATATAATCTTTGAATATGTTTAGATATACAAAAGGTGTTGATATGTGGTCAATCGGTGAGTCAAAATGAATTTATCATAGCGAATATTTTCTACTAGTAGTAGACACCGTCCGTTTTTAACAGAAATAAGTCATTTTATAACTATTGAAAAAGAGAATGACCGTAGCTTGAGTATAGATGTATGTGAATTTCACGTCAACTAACTGAACGACTTTCCATTATTAAGTTAGATGTTATTACATTTGATATTATGACTACGAATAGGTTCATGTGAGATTAAGAAAAGTTTGAAAGGATTTAAGCCCGTAGTATAGTGCAGAGATCTAAACAGGCTTACTTATTGTAGACCTGGTCTGCTCATGACAGACTATGAACTCCTTCAGACTGCCTATTATAGTCTGTGTACTATATTGTACATACTAATAACTATTTTGATGATAATTGAATGAAAGCAGAATACTTTATAAGAAGGTCAGAATTAATCATGTTTGTTTTCAATCAAAATGATAAAAAAATACCGTGCTAATCTTCCAGCGACACAGACCCTACACTGTAAATATTGATATCTATATCTCCTGTGTAAAGAAAAAAACAAGTTTTTCATTGAAAATTTAGAAAAAAATTGAGAGATAAACTCGATGATCTGTTTGGACATCTAATCTATTGATCAAATGCTATAGTCGTCTTAGTGAAATTTTGCCCATAGACAGATTTGATAATCCTGAAAGTTTCAATGGAAACGAACATATCTTTTTCGACATAGTCAATTTGTAGCTAGACTCAATTATTGTGTTCTTTAATGGTTGCTTACCTATAGGCAAAGTTTCATGAAAACAATTATAGTTCTTGATCAGAATGCCATGAACTCAAAACCATTTTAAGTTTTTCAAAGTCTCACCGATATCTATTCTTAATCATAATATGAAGTCGCACGATATCCGACAGTAAGACAAGTTCCGTCGTTAGTTACAAAACTGTTTAAAACAAAACATCAATTTATTTATATAGACATTGAAGAAACTATCTAATTACTTATTATTCTATGAAAGTTTTCGAACGAATTAATATAAAATTCAACTAAAAAAATTGATTGAAACAAATAGAATGATTTTGTTTTTTTCTTAGGTTGTATTCTTGGAGAAGTGTTACTTGGAAAACCACTTTTTCAAGGAACATCAACATTCAATCAATTAGAACGTATTCTTCAGCATATTCCAACACCAAGTCAATCGGATATTGCCAGTATTGGATCACATTATGGACCAAGTGTATTAGAACGAGCAACATCTGGGTATAATTTCATTTATTTAACAAATTTTAAATCATTCTAATTATTATATTTAATAGACAAAAAAAATCACTTGAACATTTTATTCCTAATGCTGGTGAAGACGCTCTTGATTTACTTCGTCGTCTTCTTCATTTTAATCCTGATAAAAGAATTACAGCTGAAGATGGACTTCGTCATCCATTTGTTGTCTCGTATGTTGTTGTTGCTATTTTATTTTTGGGCTCATTTTCATTCGAACTTTATTTTATTAACTAGATTTCATAACCCAAGTGAAGAAATTACTAAAGGTTATGATGTTGTACCTCAATTAAGTGATGATATACAATTAACTGTTGATGAATATCGAAAAAAATTATACGAAGTAAATATTTTCATTGTTTTAGATCAGAGAGCAAAAAAGAAGCATCATTATTGTTTGTTTTTTCAATATATAGTTAATTCAATTACGTAAAGTGTCAGCAAAAAATAATACAAATATGTCTTCCTCAAATCCTGATGTCCCACCTCCTCCACGATCACGTGATAATTCAGCTGATCAACAACAACAACAACAACAACAACAACAACAACAACAGCAACAGCAACAACGTTATGGTGCAAGTGCTTATATTGATCAATCTGAATATGATGCTTATAAACAACCAACAATAATTTCATCATCTCAAGTAACAAAAAATGATGGAGGAAATCGAGGAATTTATTCAAATTATACAACAGATCATAATAAAAATCGATATGTTGAAGATAAACGAGATGACGATTATTCAGCAACAGTAACAAATGATTATTCAACTGGACAACAACAATATAGTAAAAATTCTTCAACAGCATCTTATTCTGGTGAGTATAAAAATTCAACCTAAAGGATGAAAATCTGAATACAAGAAAATTCAGAGTGTCTGTATCAAAGAAAATAGTAATTTCCGCGCTGTTCTTAATCTATGTCTTTGAAAAGCTACAGCAGAACATCATTCTAAGGCACTGCATTCTGTACAAAATGAGACAATAGAATAAGCCGAAATACATCTATGTGCTTCTATTAAAGAGCTCATTTCCGTAAAAATCGACGTTGAGCAAAAAAGAGCATTGCTGTTTCAAAAACTGATTTTAAAAATACAAAAGCTTAAAATTCTACCATGCACAATTACAAAGCACGTTTTGTTGATTAAATAAAACTGACCTATTAAAATCTGTTTCGAATTTTGAATTTAATAGATTTTAATCGGAATGCTAAATTGACTAAAATAGTATTCTGTATGTGCATTATTTTGTATCTATTTAAACAATTTGATGATAACGCGTAATCGGGAAGTTTTTAGACAAGATGCTTGTTCACTTTTGACCCACTAGAAAGTATTTTCGAAAAGAAAAAAACACGAATTTGTGTTTGTTTCGAATATGCGTTTACGAAAGAACCATCCGAGGTGATACCTCGTATTCAAGATGAACCTGCAGTCATTATGTAGGGCCTGCCGAGACTAGAAGAAAATTAGAATGATTCTTCCACATGCGCTGTTCGTTAATATGAAAGAAACTTGTGGGTTGACATTTCCGATGAATATGTTTGTTCATTTTAGCCAACTTGAAAACATCTAAGATGAGCTAAGGACTATAAATCATGACCAGAATTTGAATACGAACTTCGAATTGTTGTGCGTATATACATAGTCGGAAAAAGCGAAAAAGTCTGATTCTAACTAATTCTTTTTGACTCAAACCAGTTGTCTTTTAGGTGCTGAAAAAAAAATGAGTGAATGATTCTTGTCAAGACTTTCGTGTCATTGATTATTTATTGATTTTTATTTCTTTTAGGACTTCTTGGCCGATCAAATAGTTATAATGGTTTACATTCAACACCAGGACAACCGCGAATAATAAGTGGCAAACAACGAAATATATCCAGTTCATCTTTACTTTACCAAGTAAATATTCATTTTTTTCTTTTACAAAAGGAATTACCCCAGTTGGCACCCGCCTCTGGAGCTCCTATTGAACATACAGGCAGACCTTAGTGAGAATAGCAAAACTCTAAAAGCGTTCATCTCCATGGAGCCTTTGTCGTCGAAAAACAAATGTTCCTTCGTCAAGATATTGAATTTTCAAACATAGCCCTTCTGCACAAAAGCCGAGTTCACTTAAACATTTAATAATTCGACGAATGAGCATTCTTTTCGGCTGAAACTTTCAGAATATTCTAACAGTCATTAGACCTATCTATAGACAAAATTTTAGATCGAGACTCCGTTATTTCGTCTTCTCAAGAGTACCTATAAATGAATGGAAAATCCAGTAAATCGGTCATAACTCAGCGCCAAAGGTCTCATAGAGACAATCCCTTTTAGATTTTTGCTATTCCCATTGAAACTTGCCTATCAGTAGAGTATGAGTTCAAAAGGTGGATGTTATCTCGGGTAGTTCCCTTGTTGGTAAAAATTTCTAAAATAAATTATCTTTTAGAAACCTAGTAATGGAAATTTAATGCGTGAAAAAACAAATTCAAATCAAGGTTATCGTTCAGGTTCAGCTCCAACACCAACACCACCCGCTAAACAAACAAATAGTGGAAATAACAATACGAATAATAATTATTATATTCGTCGTCCAACTGTTATATTTAATGATGAACGTGGTGGTCCAAGTGATAAAAGTAGCGGAGCACAAGCAAGAGTTAATAATAAATTTGTAAATTTTATTTTCTATTTTCATAATTAAAAATATTGATTTTTGTTTTTCTTTTCAAATTTAGGTGTCAAGTCTTCGACCTAATTCTGCAGCTGATAATCGAACTAAAGCACGATTTCAATCAGCATCACCAATGAATTATAATCAACAACAGCCATCTTCTGGTCCATCGTCATCATCATTTGGTAGTTATGTGGGACAATATCAACAACAGCAGCAACGTCGTCCACCATATGGAAATGGAAATTATTCTAATACAACAACATCAACTGCTGCACGTGATAATCTTGGTGGTTATAACCAAAATATGGGTACACTTACGCAAAATGGACTTCGTGTTCTTGATGGACTTCTTCATAATGCAACATAAAATTGGTTAATTATTTTTCTTCTTTGTGTTTTTCTGCTTTATTGTTTATTATATATATTTAATAATGGGCATATCTTTATTTTGTGCACGAAAAAAAAACAACAAAAGAATGAAATAATTCATCGTGCATTGTTGCGTTCTTTTTTTTCTCTATCTCAAATGTTACACGCCGTTAGTAGTGTCGCCATTCCCTTTCATTGAACTTTTTTTTCTCTCGTATTATACACATATTTAAGTGATCTCTTGTGTACATTTTTTGTCTTTTGAAAAAAGTATACGTAAAAAAATGTTATGCATTTCAACAGTTTCTTATTTATATTCATTTTATGTGGTATGTTGAATATGATGATTTGATATCTTTATCAGTAACAAATATATAAATATATATGTTTATGTTGACTATTATCAATATAAGAGTTTTTAATCAGAAGAGAAAAATAATGAATACATCAAATATCAGTTTCTATAGGCGTTAAGTTTTACAAACTAATCAACCTATTTGGTAAAACTATGGCATACTAGCAATGAAAAGAACTCCATCGAAATTAGTAACCTGTCTTGAACCAGATTTATTATATATGTAGTTTTTTTACAGTGATCTCCAGCGCGTCGAATAATATAAAAAAAATCAAGTTTTATGAAAATTTTCATGTGCTGAACATCCATATATTGGCTATTTCTAATCGTTGCTTCCTTAATATTTCTACACGAACTCTTTTCTTAGGTTTAGATCGTTTCTTGATTATATAATATTCTAGAAAGTATTCAACTCTGTGCCATAAAATATGTGAGTTTCAATATAAAGCTTTCTCCAAAATTGTACACTATCGAACTCTATGCATGTTTTATACATAACATCTTTCAGAATAGCAGTAACCCACTGTCAACTTGCAAAATTGGTCCCAATAATAGCCTGTTTTCCTATACAAAGAGACTGATATATTATCGGTATCTTAACAATACTTAACGATCTTATTAGAAATTTCTATGTTCTAATTCATCAGCACAGCATCCCTGATGGACTGATATAAATAACTTCTTTATAAATGGAATAAAGCTTTTGCCGCCGTCAGATCCCTGGAGAGGAGTACAGGAACATGCTGGTAGGAATAAGGTTCCTTGTTTTTATTATTTCTTTTTCAGAAGAGTCTATAAATATCTTGTGTTCAGTGCCAGCATAAACTTTTCCATATCCTTGTCTGTCCGCCAAAAATCTAGAGACCAGAAACGATTTCTTCTGTTTATAAATGAACTATTTACATCAGTTCATCAGAAGTGTTGTGCTGATTATTGGTATATGAAATTTTAATAAGATCGTTGAGTATTGTTAAGATATTACCAATATACTAACTCCTTCATATCGGAGAATAGGTTATTCTAGGAAGAAATCTTGTAATTTGACAATGAGTTCTTGCTGTTCTGAAAGATCTTATTTATAAAATATATAGAGCTCGATAGTGTACAATTTTTGAGAAAGTTCCATGCTGGTGCTCACTTGTTCTGTGACACAAAGTTAAGTACACTAGAATATATCTTCTTCCAGGATTATAACCAGTATATGAACCATCAGCTCATGAAGATGTTCATAAAATTTGATTTCTTAAATACCATTCGATGAGCATCAAACAGCTCTACAAAATCATATATATGATATCCTGGTTCAACAGCAGTTACCAAATTTGACGAGGTCCTCTGTATTTGAACTTTTACGAAACTAAAATTATCTCCAGACAATGGAACATTTCATTTTGAAGCATTGATTTTCATTGATATGAATCTACTATTTCTATTCAAATATCAAATAGATTTCGATTAATTTTCTTCACAAATACACTACATGGGAAAACTAGTTTTTAGTGGGAATTATGCCATTGACTAGGAAACGTCTGCTTAATGAAAATATTAGTGTCACAATTGAATTACTGTTGACTCTCTAAATTCAATATAATCTTGTGAAAATCAAGAGCAAAGTCTTCTAAGCAATTGATAGAATCTTTGTATTCATTTGTATAAATCTTTGAGTCAAGATCATGAATAAATTCTAGTGGAACTCGTCAGAGTCAAAAAAATCTAAACAAAGATTGCATTCAACATTGACATTCTGTTGGCATACAGAGATTTTCAAGTCTTGGATGAATTCTGAACAGGAGCTCGATATATGCTTTCTCAATCATTTTTATCAAAAAGGAATCTAATTAGAATATGTAAAGCTTTTAAATGAATCTTTCTATTTTCCTATTAACAATTCGGTTATGGTTGGAATTGTCTGGTAAGGATTTCAAACGATTGTTTCTGAAAAATGCCATACAATAGAATTTTCCAATTTAAAAGATTAACTGACCTTGGTTTGTGCTTGTGAAATGCTCGTCTGACGTAGCTATCACTCCTAGTATAACATTAATATGAGAATCTTAAATAGATTTTGAAAAATATTTGAGAAAATATTAATAGAATCCTGTTGATTATTGTCATAGGATGTTTACTGGAAATGCATTCAATAGTGCGACTATACTTGATTGATACACTAATGTAGGTATATGCAATATGTATATAGAGAGAACTATATCCTTTAAATCTTTATACGTAAGGTTTTATTGACTTAAACATCATTTGAGAGCCATATAAGCAACGATCTTTAAAAATTCAATTTTGCAGTGACATCTATTTTCATTTTGATTTTCTTCGCGTTCAATTTCGATACGGAATGAGCAAAAATACAATTCATATGCAGAATTAGGCTATCAAATATTTTTAATCTATGAAAAATAAAGAAATCGTACTTTTCGCAGCTGATGCAAATTTTTTCTGTTTCTATATTCAACTAACTGGCCAATGTGAACGATCAATTGTGGTTACCCGTAGGTTTTTGATTGATTATTGCTATGGTGTCCAATTAAATATCCAGCTAACCGAACTGTGCCATTAAAACTGATCTCGTAACTAGGTAGTTCGATGAGGATCTTCTTTCGCCCACATATACACTCTCATTTTATTTCTTTTACTTCCTTAAATATGCTTCATTTTGCCTTCTTCTAAACCCATATATATTACTCTAATATTTACTAGTAAATTTCAATTTCTTTCCTTTTTTACATCAAATGCAATGGTGACACAGGCAACCGTACATGAAATAAAGTAACGAACGATGAAGTTCTTACAGATGGTTGTGGAAGTGTAGATGAAAGGGTGAAAACAAAACTGATATCTCTACAAATCTCACTCTCACATCCATGCCTTTATAACCTGAAGTTTTTATTGTTCTTTCAACTTGATATTTGAAAAAAAAAATTATGTGAATCAACAAATCATTGAGTACATATAAATTTCTTTTACTTTCAAGTTATTTGTTTTGACTCATAATTGTGACAGTCATATTTCCTAGATCAAATCAACATTTTAATCCCATTGATTAGAGACACTGTCAACGGTTATTGTATGATTTCACAATAGCTTAGAAAAATTCATTAAAATTACATAACCAATATTACCAAAAAGCAATCATTACCTTCTACTATTAACGGTATTTTTTTTTCTTTTTCTGTTCTTTTCTATTTCATCATCATTATTATAATTGCTTATCATTTTTTTGTCTAAGCAATGTCTTACACGTGTCTTATATGTTCTGTTCGGTGTTTCGATTCAATATAGGATTTTCTTTTCTTCGTCAATTGCCATTTAGTTTCTTGTGGTTTCACATGAATGAATCGAATAAAAAGTTGCAAATTTTTTGCTAATTTAGACCGAGTTTTTTCATATACTCAAAGCATACTGCTTATTTTTTATTATTCAGAATCATTTATTATTTATCGTTCATCAATTCTTCATATTCGTTTTCCTGTGTACAATTTCTACGTATGGCGGCGGGCACTAATCAAAACACAACAAACTTAAAGTAGGCTAATCAATTCATACAGTTTTTTGAAACAATGTATTTGTTTTTTCTTTTATCAACTGAAAAAAACCAAGAAAATGATTCGAAAAATTTGTTTGCTGTATTTTTCATTGAATGAAAATTAGAATCCCAAGTCACTATGATTTGAAAAACGTATATCTTTTGTACATTTTATTCTTTTGTTCACATTACTGAATAGTACTTATTCTTATGGATAAAGCTATGTATTCAATAGTTTTTTTTTTCGAGTTATTCGTACTGTAAAAGATGGTGACTTATAGAAAAACAAGCATGATCATTTTGACAATAACCACTGTAGAGAAATGCAATACAACAAATAAAAGAATAAGATTTCAAGCAAATTCATATCATTTTTCATTTATGATGATTCAACCAACATATTTGATAGCCTTAGTAAATGTCAATCTTCTCTCAGTATAAGTCTTTGTTGATTCAATTTTTATATGAACAATAAATTTATTTTAATCGATTAAACAGTTCGAACAATTATAGTTCATTTCCATTTGCAACACGTCGAAATGCTATTACAGATGATTATGACATATCATCAGAAATGTTGGGTGTTGGTGTAAATGGTAAAGTGTTCAAATGTACACATCGCCGAACACGTCAAAAAGGTGCTGTTAAAGTATGTCTTCGATTTTTTTTCTAATAAATATATTAATTGATCTATATTTGAAATTTCTAAAGATTTTGAAATATTCAGCCAGAGCTCGACAAGAAGTTGTCATGCATAAAAAGGCATGTGAAAATTGTCAATACATTGTGCAAATATTGGACGTCTATGTACGAATATTTTTTCTCGAGCTTGTTTTGCTTTCTTTCCTTCCTTTACTCAATTATTGATTCAATCTCTTGGTGTATTGCAGGAAGAGACGTATCACTCTACTCGACGCTTATTGGTCGTAATGGAATGGTACAATTAATTTTTCATTGATCAATCCATCTATCTATGGTTATTAATGAATTTTTATTCTAGTATGGAAGGTGGTGAGCTATTCAACCGTATTCGCCAACGAAAAGACGATCCATATACTGAACGTGATGCTGCAAGATACATTTGGATGATAGTTCAAGCTGTTTATCATTTACATAAAATGGATATCGTAAGATTTTCTCATGCAACTTACTATTTATATTTTTGTTGTTGTTGTCTTTTTCACTATTTATAGGCTCATCGTACGTAATTTTACAATAGAAAAATATGATTAAGTATTAAATTAATGATCATAGGTGATTTAAAACCAGAAAATCTACTCTTAACAAATGACAGAAATGACGCTATTCTCAAACTTTCTGATTTCGGATTTGCCAAAGAAGGTAAAATAGTAGTTATTGAGAAAAAAAAATAAATTTATTTTTGTTGATTATTTTTTTTAAGGAAACAATGAACCACAGCCACTTAATACTCCATTGTATAGATTTAAATTAACAATAAAGAATTGTATCATTAGATTTTCTCGTTTAGATTCACACCGTATTATGTTGCACCAGAGATTTTATCTCATGGAAGATATGATAAAGTAATATGTTAATTATGTTTTATTTCGATAGCCTATAAAAAAGAAAGTCAAATTTAAAAATATGATTTCTATTCTATTGAATTCAAAAAAATGATTCAATTCTTGTTCTTATTTTGAGACATTCAAAGAATTCTCCTTCATTCGTTTTATTTCTTGTAAAATAGGCCTGTGATATTTGGTCAATGGGTGTGATTATGTACATTCTTTTATGTGGTTATCCACCTTTCTTTCCGAAAGGTGACCAGCAGCTTAGCATTGGTATGAAGAGTAGAATCAAGACCGGTAATTATCAATTTCCGGATGATGAATGGAGAAATATCTCAGAAGAAAGTAAATCGATTATTCAACGAATGCTTACAGTTGATCCAGCTAAACGTATTACAATTGGTGAAATTCTTACATCTACATGGCTTACTGAATTGACATCTGAAAGACCAATCGATATGACTGTACTTCAAGATGTCGAAACTCTACAAGAATTAGAAGTGAGTTTAAAATTAAATTTCTGTTTCATATTTATTTTAATTTAATCCTATTTTTTATTATTTTTATAGGTCGCAGGTGAGCATTTGTGTTGATGTGTATGTACATTGAAAAAAACAGTTCATTAGTCATTTTTTATTCTAGTTGCATCTGCTAATGATATCCAGCGTCGAACCGACGATGATTTCGACATTCGTATATCTGGACCAGAAGCATCACGTAATGTTAAACGAGCAGCCAAACGAAAACAACAAATTACTGTTACTGGTCAAGCTCATCATATAGCAAATAATAAATTCGAATATTATCATGATAAGAGTTCAGCGAACATAATCAAATAACGGAAAAGTCAATGAGATCTACCCGATGAAAGCTAGAATCGTCTAAACTATAAATGTTGTTTCTCTTTTTACTTATATTAAAGGGAATATTTACTTTTATTGTGTAAATATTCTCGATAGTGCCGAATAAATCCATCAATTATATTTTCGAATTTCTTTTTTAAGTAGAACAACTATCCATTTCGAAATTTAATATGCTCTGGATTTTTTTGTTTGAATAACGTTTGATAGCAACATCATAGTGACCTACGGTTTTCACCATTTCAGAGAGAAGACCTAAGGTCATCAAAATGTATCGAAACTCGACTGATGAGTTATTGACCAATTAGGTAGGTTCTTGCTGGAGATTTTCGAAAACGATATTCTGAAGCTCTTTTCTTTCGATTTATGCAAGGCCGATATTTCTAGCTCGTTCTGTTCGTAAGTTACAAGACTTTTCCTGGAACCGTTGATTTCAGTCGATAGATCCGTGGTCGCCGGAAAAATTTGCTAGGCAGGACTAATTCAACGTGTTGAGTCGAATGGTGATATTTGTTTTTAGTTTCGTATTGATCTGACCCTATTATCTTAATTTTCCTGAACTATCGACTCTTTCATTACTTAGAGGCTGATTGTAAAATTTCAGAAGTATTGTGATAGCAGAATCAATCCATTGCAGACCTAACCATAAATATCACCAAACGATTCAGTATGGCGAATTACTACTGCACAGCTGCTTTCCCGTTTAATTATAGATCAATTGACTGAAGTCGGAGTCTCAGGAAGTCTTATAACTCTCAAATGAAACGGAACAAGCTAGGAATGTCGGTCTGGCGTAGATCGTAAGGAAAGAGCTTCAGAATATCATTTTCGAAAGCCATCACCACCAAAGAACTTGCTTGATTGGTCAATGGCTAATAAATTAAATTTCGATATGCATACTTTCATGACCTTGAATCTTCTTTCTTAAACGGCGAAAACCGCAGGTGTTTATGATGTTGCTATCAAAAGTTATTCAAAAATAGTGGAGCATATTATATTTTGAAATGGATAGTACTACGTCAGTAGGGTTAACAGCGAATTCGAGTGTCTTTTGCTAATATTCAGTTGTGAACTTGGAATGATTCTCGAATTAGTTGTGATGAGCGTGGAGTAAAAGTGAGGAGCAAAACTATCACTCAGTGTTACCTTTATAGTTCTATCAACACCATTCATATAGTCCCAATTGATAGAGAATCGGATCGTACATCGATCACAACCACTTAGAGAGCTATCTCAAATTCAGAGACAAATGTCAGCAATAAATACTTGAATCTGCTACTAAGTTTTCTTACATAGAACTATCATGGAATTATATGAATAATCGAATTAATCTACTAAAATTTTGTAGTATACATAACCTAATCTTCGCAGTTTCGAAAATAAAAGAGAATTTAATTAGATCTCAATGAGAATAAAACATTCAGGGTAATTGTCTTATTTAATATTGTAACTCTTTTAGTTGACTGATAGAAAGAAATATTCTGTTCGAAAATATTAAAATTGCTAATGTCAACATAGTTCAATATTTTCTGATCGACATAAATGTAGTAATTAAGCTTGCTAGATATAAAACATGTATTATTCCCTCGACTGTAGGGAGGGTCATATGAAATAAAATGCGTTTGTTTGTGTGTTTGCTTGAGGTCAAAAAAACATATTTCAGGAGTTAGGTCATAATAAAGTATTTCGAAGTTCTGATGAAACTTTGCTATAGGTTATCGATGGTCAGGATTCCGAATCCGAAGTCAGTTTTTTTGGCCGGGCTTTCATTGGTCGAAAATCCGACCAATCAGAAATGAGCTTTTTTATTTTAAGACTTTTGGCCATTTTGATCAAACTTTGCAATAGGTTATCGATGGCCCTGAATCCGAATCCGAAGCCCATTTTTTTGGCCGAGATTTCATTGGTCAGGAACCGGCCAATCAGAAATGAACTTTTTTATTTTAAGACTTTTGGCCATTTTGATCAAACTTTGCAATAGGTTATCGATGGCCCTGAATCCGAATCCGAAGCCCATTTTTTTGGCCGAGATTTCATTGGTCAGGAACCGGCCAATCAGAAATGAACTTTTTTATTTTAAGACTTTTGGCCATTTTGATCAAACTTTGCAATAGGTTATCGATGGCCCTGAATCCGAATCCGAAGCCCATTTTTTTGGCCGAGATTTCATTGGTCAGAAACCGGCCAATCAGAAATGAACTTTTTTATTTTAAGACTTTTGGCCGTTTTGATCGAACTTTCGTATGGGTTATCGATGACCCTTAATCCGAATCTGAAGCCCATTTCTTTGGCCGAGATTTCATTGGTCAGGAACCGGCCAATCAGAAATGAACTTTTTTATTTTAAGACTTTTGGCCGTTTTGATCGAACTTTCGTATGGGTTATCGATGGCCCTTAATCCGAATCTGAAGCCCATTTCTTTGGCCGAGATATCATTGGTCTGGAACCGGCCAATCAGAAATGAACTTTTTTATTTTAAGACTTTTGGCCATATTGATCAAACTTTCCTATAGGTTATGGATGGCCCTGAATCCGAATCCGAAGCCCTTTTCTTTGGCCGAGATTTGATTGGTCCGGAAAGGGCCAATCCGAAATGAGCTTTTTCATTGTAAGACTTTTGGCCGTTTTGATCGAACTTTCGTATGGGTTATCGATGGCCCTAAATCCGAATCTGAAGCCCATTTTTTTGGCCGAGATTTCATTGGCCAGGAACGGGCCAATCAGAAATGAGCTTTTTTATTTTAAGACTTTTGACCGTTTTGACCGAACTTTAGTAGAGAAGCGAAATTTTTTTTTCGGCTTTGGTATGTTTTTATCAAAGGTACCGCAATAGAGAGGTTGACACAAATGCGGATGCGCATTTAAGTGTGTTGAATATCTTCTGCGCCATGGTTGTCTGAATGTCCCACAAATAAGAAATGTATTTTCTGGAAGAATGAAAGAAACCACGTTCTCTTAGTTACGCAGGAGTACAATAATGAGAGAAAGAAGGCATGAGTAGTGTCCAGCATTTGCCAGGAAAGATCTGCGAGAACTCAATCGAAAACAATTTTCCGATCTATAATGAAAAGATATAGAAGAATTTTTGTATTCAGAGTTGATGATATCTTACGTAATTACAGAGATAACTGGTACTGTAGCAATCAAAACATTTGTTTGTTGGGGTTCCGGAAGTTTGCCAATAACACTTTCGCCAAAATAACCAGCGCCTATGGCGAAAGTTCATTGTACTATCGCTAATTGTCGAAAGTCGATGGACTTTCAACAAAATACCTCACAACTTTCGCTACTGGCGAATATTCTATTGGCGAAATTCTTATTGCGAAGCTCGAGTAACCCGATGTGTTATGCCTCTGGAGAGAATCTCGTTCTTAAGACCGTCCCACATACTTTTCTTATTGAGTAAATTTATCCTTCTGTTTGTTTCACAATTTGACCTTAAGCATTGGAAACCACAGATTGAATGAGTACGATAGTGAAAATGGATGGGCTTTATACCAGAATGGGTTTGTTCTTTGAACTACACAATATTCACGTCTCTCACGATGGTTTCGCTCTATTTCTCCTCTCGTTCTCTATAAAATGAGGAAGAACATTAGAATATATCACAGTTAATATCAGAGTACAGTTTATTGTTACGTCATTGAGTTAAAAAAACAAAATTTTAAGATCGCAGTTCGTAAGGTGCCTTTGTTACGAAGAGTATATCATGAACTCATGGTACAATGTTGTGCGAAACAAAAAATTTTTAAACGATTGTTCATAACTTGAATGATTAACTTGAACTTTTTCTGTTTATCTGTTGTTGTGTTGTCGAAAACGTAACAGTGCTGCACATACATTAACGTGTGAAAGAGAATGGAAAAATTGTTCATAGACATTGATACAAAATAGAGACCAAAATTTTGACTCATTTTTTTTTAAATAATAAATTTAATAAATGTATTGGAAGTCTATTAGATAACTAATAAGATAGAATTGGGTAAAGCTGCGAACTTCTTCGAGTCTAATAGCTTATATTTCTAATTATGGCGTGATAGATATTTCATCAAAAATTTATGCCATTCATTATTTCATCAGTATTCGATAGTGGTATTTCATTTATCGTTATAAAAAAAAGACTCATGTTATGTTCTCTCTTCATGAACATCTGTATAAATAATTTTTCTTTCGTTTGGTTTGGCTTTCTGTCTGAACATATATGCATATACTGCCATGTTTCAGACAACAAAAAGAACGCTGTATTGAACAACATCAGCTTAATCATTCATGAAGGAGATGAATGTTGTCGAAAAAATTGATTATCACAACAAGATGTCGTGTGTTTATGGTTTATAATAGAATTCAATTATTAAAAAAAATCTGCTGTATTGCTTAGGAGGACAGAAATAAATATTGAGATGTTATTTCAGTCCCGTGTATGCCTTTACAGATAACTATAATGCATTTTTTTCTATAGGTATCATATTAATTGATGCAAATGAAATGAATATAATTCACTTTAGGTGAAGATGACATGAATCGATGATAATCAAAGCATGATAAGCGTTTATGGTTCAACTATGTTATAATCATCGAGCTCTACTTGAAATGAAGGCAGAATAGGATTTTACTATGAACAGCATTCCATCACGTCTTATCGCGTATTCGAATTAGTCATGTGTTTGTGAAACCACATACAATATCATAATTTGTTCATTGTACAGCAGTTTTCATACATTCAGTTACTATCAGAAGACATATATATTGTTGAGAAATCTAAACATAAATGGAAGTTGTGCCGCAAAAATAGATTGAGACTACAATGTTGATGAATATGGATATGAGTATGTATGTTTATTTCAATTATTAGTCATTTCGTTACAGTTCTATTATTATTTATCTATTACTATTTCACCCAACACTGCAACATCAAGTCTGACCATGTTCTTCTCTTTCTCCTCGCTTTTATATCGAGTCGAAAAGAGGGAAATAAGAGA